TCCTTCCCTCCTTCCTTCCTTCCTTCCTCCCCTTTTTTCTTTTAATTGTCACTTTTCAATGTCATATTTACTCCAGTTGTCTTCTGTCTTTGTGTATTGGTTTCTCATCAGGTTTTTCTCTCAGTTAAATTCAAATGCAAGGAAACCTCGTGTCTGGTTGCTTTTTGTTCTTTCTGAGTAAAAAGTCACTACTGTATTCCAGGAAGTTRCTACACAGTTCTTGCCTGACTTCTTTTGTTTTCCACACACTGTCTGGTAGTTCAAAAATGTTTATGAAAATCTTATGAGTTCTTTTGAATATCTTGCCAGCTGTTCACAARAATCTTGCTTAACTGCTCCTCCCAGGCTAATTCTCTATGTAATAGCTCCAATATTTCAATTTTAGCATGTCTTTCACTCTGTATTATTATGGCTTGGATTCATCTTATTTGAAAACACCATTTTTCTCTTCAGCCCATGGGCATCTTCTCCATCCTGGAAGAGGAGTGCATGTTCCCCAAGGCAACTGACACCTCTTTCAAGAACAAACTCTATGATCAGCACCTGGGCAAGTCCAGCAGCTTCCAGAAGCCCAAACCAGGGAAAGGCAAGGCTGAGGCTCACTTCTCCCTGGTGCACTATGCTGGCACAGTGGATTACAACATCTCTGGCTGGCTGGAGAAGAACAAGGACCCTCTGAACGAAACTGTCATTGGGCTGTACCAGAAATCATCTATGAAAATATTATGCCATCTTTATGCCAGCTTTGCTTCCATRGATGAAGGTGAGTTCAGAGGATTTTGTTTCCAGTTTGGGGTTTCCTACTGTACCTCTCACGTGACATGGATCAGTGTTCAGTCAGTGCTGGTGTGCTGTGTAATAGATGCACAATTATCAGACTGTCAAAAGGGTCTGCAGCAGTTCCTCAGCTGGACTGTCATCTCATTTTCCAGCTGAAGGTGATGGAAAGAAGAAAGGAACCAAGAAAAAGGCCTCTTCCTTCCAAACTGTGTCTGTACTCTTTCGGGTAAGTGTGTTCTCTGGCAGAGACTGCTGAGAGGGCAGTCCTGTCACACCAGGCTCCACAGCCCACTCCCTCTGTTGCTACTCTGTGCCAAGTTACCTTTAGAATCTCACAAAGGTTCATTTGAGTTCTGCTTTGCTCAGGTCCRGTGGGATGATAGTGAAGAGGGGAAGTCGTGCTTTATCAGGTTGTACAGTGAGCTGCAGCATCCTTCCCTTCTCTGCTGTCACCACCTTCTACAAGCACCAAGTCCAGGCCATTGTGAGGCAGCCAGGACCTTGCAGGCAGCGTGAGCAGCACAGGTTACATGTTGCTGCTGCAATGCCTCTGTAACTGAGGCCGGGAACAGATTTGTCCCTTCCTGGCAGGATGAGAAGCACATCATCYCCTGGCAGTGATGGGGTCCCTTCTCAGAGTGTGTCATTATTGCGTGAGATGATTAAAGAATTGCAATGCTAGCARAAACTACCCTGCAGAGAAGGTGACTTACGTCATCAGCAAACTAATTTTGTAGCTCAATTGTCTTTTAAAATATATGTAACTAATATATCTAAGCAATGAAAGCAAGAATTGATCCATTTATTCTTTTGATTAAAACTTTTTTTGGTCAGGACAGGTCATATATATGGTATCCCAGAATATAGTTAATTTTTTATGGTATCCCAGAATATAGGTTTGTTTTTTTTTTATGGTATCCCAGAATATAGTTAATTTTTTTCTATCCTCATCCTGTTTAAGAGCTCTTATGGTTAGTCTTGTACCTAAAGGACACTTGTCCATTTTAAGACAGGAGAGAAGTTCTTCAATAGTAGCCATTTACTTTGCTGATGCCTATGCAGGATTATAGAATATTCACCAGAAGAGTAAGGAGAAAGTTCTGAATTTTTATTTTTCAGCAGAGTCAAATCACTTTGAGGACTGAGATCATATAGAGATTACAAATGAYCTCTGTTTTACAGGAAAATCTAAATAAGCTGATGTCTAACTTGCGAACAACTCACCCTCACTTTGTGCGTTGCATCATTCCCAATGAAACAAAGACCCCAGGTAATACATAAAACATAGAGTAGAAAGGGGCAGAAAGAGCAATTTCCAAGGCCAGAACAGTCAGTGTGTCCCCATGTTGCTCTGTCATAGGCCTGATGGATCACAAGCTTGTTCTGCACCAGCTGCGATGTAACGGTGTTCTGGAAGGCATTCGGATCTGCAGGAAAGGCTTTCCTAACAAGATATCATATGGGGATTTCAAACAAAGGTCTGGAATAACATTCTTGTGTTTGCATTAAGCCAAATTCATCTGAAAGAAGGGTCTTGCTAAACCAATCCATGATTTAGTTGTTAGGAAAAGACTATTTAAATATTTAACAATCATGGAAAACAGAAGACGTATATAATTGTGTGGTCTGTGTGGGCAGTGCCCACCCAGACACCTTCCTCAATACTGTATGCCTAAACTTATTTTTAATTTATTCCTGTAATGTGAATGTTTGGGTATTCCTTGCTTTAATTCTGAAATTGGACACAAGCATGTTTCAGCAAAAATACAGAGGGTGGTCTATACACATGCTCTATTTAACCTCTATCAAGTGGAGAAGAATGTGGTTTAAATAATTCTGACTAGAATGGTCTCACAGAGAGGAAATTGTGTTAAACCCAATACTACTTTTTGATGCAATGCCAAGTTTGACTGGCAAATAGAGCTGCAGTAACAAAAGGAACTTCAACAGGAAGTCCAACATAATTCCACATGACTCTCTCATTTTGTGCTGAGTTAACATTTCTGCATTGTAACATTTCTACAGCATTAGCACATTAATTTATAGATAAAMCCCCACAACCAGAAAATCTTCTCTTGGGAATTGCTTTGCAAAAAGACATTTTTTGGGTAACCTAGTTGGGGTCATCTGCTTTCTGTGTTAGAACAGAAGCAAATGTAGGGTCAGATCTCTAAGAATAAAGAAATCACTCCCCCTTTACAGCTCTGTGCAGGGCGTACTGGAGAGCAGGACACTGAGAAGGGCTGAAATGGTATTTTGGATACTGACTGAAGGCAACAGCTCAGGCATTGTTGTGGGAGGGTAGATTTGTGTATGGATGCCAAAACTGAGTAAAATAATCTCTCAGTGTAGGATTAGGAAATCCGTTGCTGGATACGGTGTGAAATTCTAGGTTATATGGTTCAGGAGGAATGTGGAAAGCTGGAAATAGTTCAGAAAAGAGCTATGGGATAAATGTGAACTCTGTACAGGGAGAGATTTAAATCAAACTACAGTGGGGAGGCCCTGGCACGGTTGCCCAGAGAAGCTGTGGCTGCCCCATCCCTGGAAGGTCAGGCTGGACATTGAGGCTTGGAGCAGCCTGGGACAGTGGAAGGTGTGGGATTGGATGATCCTTAAGRTCCCTTCCAACCCAAACAATTCTGTGAATCCATGAGTCTATTTAACTCATGAAATTGAGTGTTAACAGATGATTTGCTTGTGATGTGGAGAACCTACAACCAAAGATTTCTGAATATGCAGGAAGTTGTCTTCTAAATGACAAACTTAAAGCAAAACTCCAAGGGTGGGCCCTGAAAAAGGATGTTGTCAATGTAGAAATGAAGTATACTTTTCCCACCATGAGGATGAATAGTTTACCTGGGACACTCTTGAGGTTTGAAATAAGGTTTCAAATAAGATTTCAAGTATGATTGAAATTTTTTGTTATTTTTTAAGTATGTACTAGGTTGATCACAATAGGGCTGGATGAGCAAGACTGGGAGACTGCTGTGCATGGGTTATATAGGGAGTTAGATTAATTGCAGCAGTTCCCCTACTCTTAAAATCCCTCAAATTTTTGAATTTGCAGCTAACCCAGTGAACTGGACCCCCTAGACTAGTGATAATGACTGTGACAGAGATGAGCAGAGTCTCTCAGGTCCAGAGAACAGACTGCCATGCCTTCAGTCTCAGTGAGGGCTGTAATACATCCTTGGAACCTACTGAACTGATCTGCTGCTATTTGCCACTTTTCTTACTGCTTTGCTATTTGAGGCTGGAGGTGTGAGTCAGACTCAGCCTTCCTGTGTATCTTCAAACTGACAACTGTCCTTGTGGCACTAAAATGATATTGATGGATAAGCTTTTTCCTTTATTTTGTCAGATACCGCCTTCTGAATGCCAGTGTCATTCCAGAAGGAAAGTTTATTGATAGCAAGAAGGCGTGTGAAAAATTGCTGTCTTCCATTGAGATAGATCATACTCAGTACAAATTTGGACACACTAAGGTAAATGTTTAATTTTGCCATATGGTAAGAAATTATGCATTGCATTAAAATGTAAGCCCAGSAACGAGTGATGTCTGTTCTTTGGCTGCAGGTGTTCTTCAAGGCTGGTTTGCTGGGTGTCCTGGAAGAGATGCGAGATGATTGCTTAGGACAGCTGATCACACGGACCCAGGCTTTGTGCAGGGGATACCTCAAGAGACTTGAGTTGAAAAGAATGTTTGACCACAGGTGGGTGTCTTCKGTAAGGTCTGGTTGCTCAAAGATGGGCTTTATTTACAGTACTGATGGATGGATCACTTTGTTTTCAGGGAGTCCATCCTCTGCATCCAATAYAACATCCGTGCATTCATGAAAGTCAAACAGTGGCCCTGGATGAAGCTGTACTTCAAGTTCAAACCCCTCTTAAAATGTGTGGAAACTGAGAAAGAAATGGCCATGATGAAGGAAGAGTTTGAGAGAACGAAAGAAGAGCTGGCTAAATCAGAAACCACGAGGAAAGAACTGGAAGAAAAAATGGTAACTCTGGTGCAAGAGAAAAAGGATCTACAGCTGCAAGTACAAACTGTACGTAATTAAAATAACTTTTGGCTCTTCAGATTACATAAATTTTGTGTGAGTGTTCAGGAAAAGGCGGAAAGRAAATTCTGTTATGTCATGTTCCAGCCACTTAATAAGCAGGGGATTTCTTCAAATGTCAGTGACAATATGTGACAATGAAAYGCATTTCTGTTCTCTCTAAAAAGGAAAATGAAAATTTGGCTGATGCTGAAGAAAGATGTGACCAGCTGATCAAATCAAAATTCCAGCTGGAAGCAAGAATAAAGGAGGTAATGGAAAAATTGGAGGATGACGAGGAGATGAATGCTGATCTGACAGCCAGAAAGAGGAAACTGGAGGATGAATACTCTGAGCTGAAGAAAGATATTGATGACCTTGAGTTAACATTGGTCAAGGCTGAAAAGGAAAAGCATACCACTGAAAACAAGGTGCTTTTTATTTCTGCAAGGTTTAATAACAGTTGTTCTGTCTATGTGTAGTCTGTAAAGGTTCAGTAAATTGCAATGCTTACATGCTGCTGTGTAAGGAGATCTATGGGCCTGGTATTGAATCTGGTCACCTCCAATGTGCAGGAAAACCAACCCATATGCATACAAAAATTGAAGTTTAAAATACATACATTAAAAATGAAGTTCAGCATTGCTTTGTGACTTCGAAGGGTTGATACATAAACAGAGAGATGGTAGAGTTTGACCATACAATACAAGTAATTTTCAGCCTCTTGGAGAGTCTAACAACAAGTTCATTGTGTTTGTTGCCTGTGTGAGGGCCAAAATTATAAGTGACCTTTAAGTATTTTGCCTTACAATAGGTGAAAAATCTGACTGAAGTAGTGACAGATTTGGAAGAGACTGTTGCAAAATTAGTCAAGGAGAARAAGGCCCTGCARGAAGCCCAGCACCAGGCAYTGGATGACCTGCAAATAGAGGAGGACAAAGTTAATACCCTCACCAAAGTTAGGATCAAGCTGGAGCAACAAGTGAACCATGTGAGCATGTTCAACACAAGGAGAGGAGCAGATTCTTTGGTTGTTCCATCAGTTATGTTTATATATGTTTATGTTGCAGGTTGAAGGATCTTTAGAACTTGAAAGGAAAGCGTGTGTGGACCTTGAACGAGCAAAGAGAAAGCTTGAGGGAGACTTGAAACTTGCACAGGAAACCATAGTAGATCTGGAGAATGATAAACAACTTTTAGATGAAAAATTAAGGAAGTATGAGAAAAATAAATCAATGAAAATGTATTATTTTGCTTTAACTGGACATACTTTCTTTTTATTAAAATAACATCTCCTTCACAGGAAAGACTTTGATTTTCACCAGATGCAAAATAAAATTGCAGAACAGCACAATTCAGGTACTCATTTGCAGAAGAAGATCAGAGAATTGCAGGCAAGAGCCTTTATGTACCTACTTCACCATTACTGTTTGCTTGTTTTGAACTGTAATACCATGAATAATGCTTGCCCACAGTTTGGCATTGGCTCCATCAGACATAGGGAAACCTTCCAACAATTTCTCACAGAAGCCACCCCTGTATGCCCCTWCTACCAAAACTTGGCCATGCAAACCTGACACAACAACAAAAARCTGTGATCTAAAGTTAGAATTGATGCCTGATGATTTTTGCTTTTCCTTTTTACGCTTTCTGTACCCTCTATGCATTCCCCTGCACTCCTTAGCCCACATGCTTGTAATTCCTGTACCCTGATATTCCAGCTTAGTTTAGGAGTTCTGCTGGGCAGAGACCAAACATCCTGAGGAAGGGCTCAGTGTGCCCTGTGCTATCTTAAACCCGAAGCTCCAGCCTTGGTCGAGCCTTCTCTCTGGAACATCCTGTGTAAACTGGGCTCTGGCCTCATCCAAGGGGGATTCATTAGAATAGGGGGACATTACTGCATTTGTGAAGTTTCTTATTGGGGAATCCTAGATAGATATGCTAATTCCTGAAACCTATAAAACTTGTACCCGTGCTGTACACGGGTGTGCATTCTGCCATCAAGTTGTGCACCTGGGATCCCAAATACCAAGGCAAAAACCATTTTATCCCCTTAACCGTGTCTGTGTCATTATTAAAAACTGGCCTTTCAAGGCAACAGAATGAGTTGATCCATAGGTCCTTTCCTGTCAGTAAATCCTTACCTACAATGCCAAAAAAGTGACATTTGAAGGAAGTTTGTTTTGCTTATAGTCTCCAAAACAAGGTGCTTGGTGTTCTACTGTGACAAATACACATTAGGCTAAGCGCTGAATTACTCATTCCCTATTTAATTCCTGATGTGCTGTTCCCTTGTAATGTAGGCCCAAGCTGCGGAGCTGGAAGAGGAGACCATGAGTGAGAAAGCGAGCCGGGTAAAAGCAGAGAAGCGTTGTGGTGAGCTGGCTCGTGAGCTTGAGGGAATCAGGGGAAGTCTTGAAGAAGCTGGAGGAGCCACCACTGCTCAAATGGAGCTGAACAAGAAGCGTGAGGCAGAATTCCAGAAGATGCGGCGTGACCTCGAAGAGGCCACGCTGCAGCACGAAGCCACGGCTGCCGCCCTGCGGAAGAAGCACGCYGACAGCACGGCTGARCTGGGGGAGCAGATCGACAACCTGCAACGCGTGAAGCAGAAGCTGGAGAAGGAGAAGAGTGAGCTGAAGATGGAGATTGATGACTTGGCCAGTCGTGCAGAGACCATTACTAAGTCCAAGGTGTTTCTTTAGAAGTTAAATACTTGAATTGCCAATATTTCTCTCCAGTGGGCACTTCACAAACACACCTGCACAGGTTCCACCTTCTCATTCTCTTTCAGGTTAAYCTGGAAAAAAGGTACCACACCCTGGAAGATGAGATGAGTGAGATGAAAGCCAGACTTGAGGAACACCACAGGAATGTGAATGAGATGGTGATACAAAAAGCCCAGCTCCAGACAGAGTCAGGTAAGGAAGGCACAAAGATGTGGCACTTCTTGAATCCACTACAAGCATTTAATTAGTTGGGAACTAAACAGATAAACTGATTGGCCTTTGTGCCACGCCAGCTCTTGTCCAGGTTAGATGTCAAGCACCAAAGGATCACTGCACGCCCTCCTTGGTGACTGCCTTAAGTGAAATTTCCCAACAGAGAGRCACAGCAGAAATGGCAGTGGCAGCACTATTAATCCATATTTTGGGAGATGAGGGGGTGTCACTCAGATATGGGTAGRACAAAATACTATGTTGTACCAGTCACCCAAAGCTGCTGGAGCACAGGTAGCTSTGGTCTGTTGACAGCAGCAATGATGAAGCAGGTTCCTTGTAGCCTGGGGTGCTCCAAATACAAATATTGCAAATTCCTGTGTGAAAAAAAAAAGTATGGAAACCTACCTGGAATCAGTTCTGGAGATAGTACAGAATATTAACAAGTGTTATGAAGTGGGTTCAGAAGAAAAGGAAGAAAAGRGAAAAAGGGGAAAGGTCCCKGTGCAAGCAGAACCAGAGACCTTCAATAACTCAGGAGATGAGCAGCAGAGAAAAAGAAGTTTCCAGAGCAGGTGAACAGAACAAGGAGAKGTCAAGTAAACACTGATAACAGGGSTATGAAAGCAGAAGGAATTTACTAAAACTGTGCAAAGAGGTAGACAGTATTAATTTAGTAGAAAATATGGCAAAACGGAATGGGAATAAAACACAGAATAAACTAGAAAGAGTGATATAACTTGAAGAGAAACATGTAGACCCAGAGGCAGCATTGCCAACTTCCCTGTACTATTTTAAAAAAGGTTGTCAGAACAGAAGAAATTTAGAGAGGATAAGAATCAAGAAAGGAAAGGAAGGTTGGAAACTCTAGAGAAACTCAGTGCTATGCAGTAGTTAAAGCTGAGAGAATTATGAGTTAAACGTGAATATTGACAAATGAACAGAAAACCTTATGATTAAAGCAGAATAGGAGCAATGTTGAAGGAGATAGAAACAGGTAAGTGTTGGAGGGGACTTTTATCTGTCTCATAATTTCATTACTAAAGGCTGCATTATTCTATGAATAAAAATGACATGGTAAAAATATATGTATGATGGGAATGGTTRAATAAGAATGGTGGAAGTATGTACATAACAGGAACAACTGACAAGGTAAACAGTGCTGTGTGATTCCACTTACCTATTATGATTWTTATTATAATATATGGATGCTCTCAGGATGCTTCTTCTGCACAGTATTGAGAACTTGTCCTGTCTTGTCATAGGTGAACTAAGCCGTCAACTCAAAGAGAAAGAGACTGTAAGGCTGCAGCTGTCCAGAAGCAAGCAGGCACTTACACAGCAAATGGAAGATCTCAAAAGGCAGCTGGAGCAAGAGATCAAGGTAATGCAAACTACTGAGCACCTGCTAAGGCTTTAAAATGTATCAGGGTCTCAGCTCATTTAAAAAACACTTTTGGAAGTTTGTAAGTATTGCCTGTAGTYTAACACAGTAAAATTGCCCCTGGGCAAGATGTGTCCAGTAAGCACTGTGTTCAGTGAGTTCCTTGCTAARGATGACTCTGGCATGCTAAAAGTGRTTTAACTTAAAGTGAATTTTGAATTTTAAAGCCATAGTCTATGTGATTTCTYTATCTTCTGTAGCCATAAGGAAGAAAAGTTACAGCATATGCCAAGATGAAGKCATCACTTTTGGTCTTTTCTAATGGTAAAGTTGTGACAGATAAAGGCACCTCCCTGAAGGCTTTGTAAGCCTTTTGTCTTCTGGCCAAGCTGCAGTGATCATATTTCAGATATGTGAGGTCATGAGGTTGCTTGGTGGTCACAGCTAACAGAAATACATGATATTATGGGTAATTTTTAGGCCAAGAATGCCCTGGCCCACGCYCTGCAGTCCGCTCGCCACGACTGTGACTTGCTCCGGGAACAATATGAGGAGGAGCAGGAGGCCAAGGGGGAGCTGCAGCGAGCCCTGTCCAAGGCCAAYRGTGAAGTGGCSCAGTGGAGAACCAAATACSAGACRGAYGCGATTCAGCGCACRGAGGAGCTYGAGGAGGCCAAGTACAGAATTGATGAGATGAGCTGTGCAGATGTATATTGGGCAGAACATAGGCCCACTTTTAGTAGCCTGACCTAAATTATTTTCTTGGGGTTTGCATATAGTGTTAATTAAAATGACACACATAATGCAAGGATTTTTTAAATCATATGCTTGTTTTATTTATGTTTTATTATACATTTAAGGAAAAAGCTCGCCCAGCGTCTCCAGGAAGCAGGACAGCAGGCAGATACRCTGAATTCCAAGTGTGCCTCCTTGGAGAAGATGAAGTTGAAGTTGCAGGGGGAGGTGGAGGATCTGACACTGGATGCAGAGAGAGCAAACACATCAGCAGCTGCCCTTGACAGGAAACTGCAGAATTTTGATAAGGTGATAAGTGAGCACAGTATCTTTCAAGTGTAGCCTTCCTAGAAAGCCAAACTAACACTCTGTACATCAGTCAATGCTGAAGTCAAGGTGAGTTTAACTAGAAGTAGGCAGTAGGAATTTGTCCTGGTGTCAGAGACTGCAGTATTTATCTAGTACAAAACATAGTCACAGATAAAATAACATTTTCTGTACCAGCAGGAAATGAAAYATGTCTTTCAGGTCATGGCAGAATGGAAGAGGAAGTATGAGGAGAGTCAGCTGGAGCGGGAAGCACTCTCTAAAGAATCAGGCTCACTGAGCACAGAGCTTTTCAAAGTGAAAAATGCCTATGAGGAAACCTTAGATCAGCTTGAAACAATCAAACGGGAGAACACAGCTCTCCAGCGTACGTGTTTGGCTCTGTTTCCCTTCAGCTTTCACAGAGCAGCCACAACAAGGCGCACTCCACAAGCACTCTCATGTCTGCACGAGAGCACCGAGTGACAGCACGCTGTCCTTCCTGTGCTCTCCATCTTAATGCAGAATATCAGTGTCTTACCAAAAGTTGTCAAACATGTTTGGAAAGTGATTAAGCTAATAAAGCAAATGTTYTGGCTCTCCAGTATCTGCTGCAGAGGCATTGAAGTGCTGTTCCCAGGTAAAGGTGGTAACCTGGGGAGGCTGTGCAGCTTGTGAAAGTGTGTTTTACGGATGCACTGAGCACAAGGACAGGATCTGTGGTTTTGGACCCTGATGGCCTATCCATAGATGTAACACATGAAGGGCTCTTCCAGGCTCTCTGTGAAACCACAGAGATGCCCTACTTAGCCTGCATGAGTTGATTGTGGGTGGTTTTATCTGTACATATTTACAGAGACATATACCATTGTGTATGCATGTACATATATGTATACATATTKATGTATGCAAAAGAGGTTGCTGCTGAATGCAGCAGCAAAGCAGARTCCAGCTCCTCTGATTGATGTAATTCTTCTCTCACAGAGGAAGTAGCTGATCTGACAGAACAAATTACTGCAAATGGCAAAATGATCAGAGACCTTGAGAAAGCCAAAAAACAAGCTGAAATAGAAAAAAATGGGCTGCGATCAGCTCTGGACGAAGCAGAGGTGAGTTAGTTTAAATATTGCTGTAAATAGTAACGAGCATGCTGAACAGCTTTCTGTTCCTATTTCTGGCAGTAGCTGTGTGCAAGGTTGATTGCCACAAATTTTAGGAACTTCTGTGAAGTCACTAAGTAACACCACAATAATCRTGTTTTCTGAAATGTTACCTTCATCTTTATTTTTCCCCTTTTTATTTTAAAGGCAGCYCTTGAGCGTGAAGAAGTCAAAATCCTGAGTGTCAACCAAGAGTTGACTCAGATAAAGTCAGAAATCAATAGAAAGATTGCTGACAAGAATGAGGAGATCAACGAGCTAAAAAAGAACAATGARAGGACTGTGGAGACAATGCAGGCTGCTTTGGATGCTGAGATCAGGAGCAGAAGCGAGTCTTTAAGGCTGAAGAAGAAGATGGAGGGAGACCTGAATGAAATGGAGATCCAGCTGAGCYATGCCAAYCGCCAGGCAGCAGAGGCACAGAAAYACCTGCACAGCATCCAGGGAGCTCTCAAGGTCTTGCTTTACCTTCTGGTTGRTTTGTTTTTAAGTACAGTATTCAAGAAATTCATTAGGACAAAACTGTCTCTTCAAATATAGGACACACAGCTKCACTTGGAYGATKCTSTSAGGACACAGGATGACCTGAAGGAGCAGGTGRCCATGGTGGARCGCCGAGCAAACCTGCTGCAGGCTGAAGTTGAGGAGCTACGGGCAGCCCTGGAGCAGACAGAGCAGTCCAAGAAAAAGACTGAGCAGGAGCTTCTGGATGCAAGTGAGAGAGTTCAGCTTCTCCATACCCAGGTAGTTTGCTTTACTGAGACTGAGATGTTTTGGGGTCCAGGGATTGATAGAGTAAGAATGAATAATAATTGACAGTCTCTGTGTGTTAGACCCCAAAGACAGACACTCAAAACCTCTCTTTCTCCTCCATAGAACACCAGCCTTTTTAATACAAAGAAGAAGCTGGAAATGGATATGGTACAAATCCAAACAGAGATAGAGGATGTTACCAATGAAGCAAAAAGTGCCGAAGAAAGAGCAAAGAAGGCAATGACAGATGTGAGGATGTTACTGTGGTTTTCACTTYGAATTTTCAGGGCTTCCAGTGGCATTGCTGCTGCAAGTTAATGTAAATACTCCTGTCACATGTTGGACAAGGAACCAGTCTGTGGGCCTGGTTGAAAAGGTTACGTATCAGAGGAGGATTAGAGCAGCAGGGAATATGTCCTGCTGACAGATGGGGCTGTTGCCATCATAAAGAACTAAACCCGCATTTAGTCAGTCRAAAACAAAATAACTTTATTCAGTGYTGCATGAMAATGTAATRCAMAAAGAAATCCTRCAGTACTGAAACCAGAGAAGTGGCTGAAGTATTTAAATAGTTATATTTGCAAAATCTTATTTCAAAACATTTTAAATGAGAATTGTAAATTTTCATTCAAAATTGGTGCTAAATCCTCCCAGACAAGRCCTGTGAAGTTCAGCCAGGCAATGKGGCCAGTGTGTCATGGGACTCAACCTGCCAATGATTTTTGATGCAGAGGATCAAACCAAAATCTTAACATTTAGATACATTATTTGGARTTAAAATAGAAAGAAAACTTTTCAACTTGCTCATGAAAATGAAAGAAAAGTTAAAAAGATTCTCAGAATCATTAGGATTGGAAGGGATGTCTGGAGACCATCTACTCCAACCCCCTTGTCCAGGAGGGTCACCTGCAGCAGATGACACAGGAACATGTTCAGGTGGGTTTGGAATGTCTCCAGAGAGGGAGATTCCATGCTCTTCCTGGGCAGCTGTTCCATGTTCTTCCACCCTCCATGGAAAGAATCTCTTCCTCATATTGAGGTATTCTTGTGTTTTAATAATTTCTATTCTGTTTGAATAAAAGAGAAAGAAAGCATTGCAATGAATTATACACACATATACRTATATATTTATATAAAATTTCTAGGGCTCACATTTTTCAATTTAGACCTTTTCAGATATTTTTCTGCTAAAGCAATTTGTTGAATTTTACATTAATTATAAGTTATGTCACTCAATTTTTTGCCAAAATGCTTATTTTTTTGTGTACAAATCCAACATTTGAGAGGAAAATTAATCTGACTGAAGTAGTGTCTTAAATAGCATAGATTATTTTAGACTATTTTGTGCCTTGTGGCATGAGCCCCCCAGGATGTTGTGGCAGTAGCAGAGCACTGAAGCACATCATTCAGCACACCCCACATGTGTTAAGCACAGAAGTCTTTCAGCTGTGCCATGTCCTGTGCCCAGGCTCTGCTGGGGCTCCAGGGGTTTTTTCTCCTKGCACCCAACTGTCAGTGGGGGTCACAGTGGGACCGTGCAGTGGGACAGAGCATTTACCCTTTCTGTGGCTCCAGCTCTGTGTGCAGCMAGGCAGACCTTTCCTGTCCTTTTCCCTACTATTTCCTGTCATGTTTTGCCGCTACCACGTCATGGAAGAAAACAAAACAGGAAATGGGGTAGCAGGAATGGTCAGCAGGACGGGAGTTAATCCTCTGCTGGTGCACAGWATGTGGTGTTGTTTCACATTCTTCCAGTTTCTTGTGTCATCTCYCTTCCAAGGCAGCCATGATGGCAGAAGAGCTGAAGAAGGAGCAGGACACCARTGCCCACCTGGAGAGRATGAAGAAGAACCTGGACCAGACTGTGAAGGACCTGCAGCACCGTCTGGATGAAGCTGAGCAGCTGGCACTGAAGGGAGGGAAGAAGCAGATCCAGAAGCTGGAGGCCAGGGTGGGTACCAGCACTGAACATGGGTGTCAGAAACATCTTTCTTCTCCAAGTCCTGTGTGAGAGCTTAAGGCAATTGTTGATTAATTCACCAGATCCGAGAATTAGAAGCTGAACTGGAAGAAGAACATAAACAATACTCAGAGGCTATGAAAAACATCTGCAAATATGAACGGCATGTCAAAGAGCTCACTTTACAGGTGGGTAAAAATAGAAAGCAATTCTGATGTTTTGTCTCCCAAGGACATATAATTGCATGTTCTCTTTCCACAGAGTGAAGAACACAGGAAGAACATGATCAGGTTACAAGATCTGGTAGATAAACTGCAAATGAAAATAAAATCCTACAAAAGACAAGCTGAGGAAGCTGTGAGTCACTAAAGTGAAGCAGATACTTATTTACCAGTTCATMGGACTGTCAGTTTAAAAGTTGGCTCTTGTGCCCCAGCATGTTGCCAGATGGTTTTAAATTTTCTTTTGTTTTGCAATTTCAGGATGAACAAGCCAATATTAATCTGTCCAAATTAAGAAGAGCACAGCATAAGATACATGAGGCTGAGGAAAGGGCAGAGAATGCTGAAAGCCAAGTAAATAAGCTCAGAGCTAAGGCCCGAGAAGGCCCTGCTACAAAGGTAAGGCTTTACTGCAGATGTGCAGTTGTGCTGTTTGCTCAAGTRAGTCTAGCAGCAGATTTGTGCCTTACACTGGTATCAGCATCATTTGGAAACCTCCCCAGGTGCAGTTTAAGACTGCATCCTCTCACCCTGTTGCTGGATGCCTGGGAGAAGGGACAAAACCCAGCCTTGCTACACCCTTCTTTCAGGGAGCTGTGGAGAGTGATGAGGTCTACCCCGAGTCCCCTCTTCTCCAGGATGAGCAACCCCAGCTCCCTCAGCCTCCCCTCACAGGGTTTGTGTTCCAAGCCCTTCCCCAGCCTTGTTGCCCTTCTCTGGACACGCTCCAGTATCTCCACATCCTTCCCAAACTGGGGGGTCCAGAGCTGGACACAACACTCAAGGTGCGGCCTCACCATTGCTGAGTACAGGGAAAGAATGACTTCCCTGGTCCTGCTGACCCCTCTATTCCTGATACAGGCCAGGTGCCATTGGCCTTCTCGGCCACCTGGGTGCACTGCTGGCTCACGGTCAGTTGGTTGTTCAGCACTTTGTTGCGGTTTGGACCCTGAACGCCAAAGCAACACAGGACGTTTCCCCCCCCCCCACCCCCAGGAGAGGCAGAGGGGAGAACAAAACCTCAATTAACACCAAGATTTATGGCTTTTAGATAGGATAACGGATTGAGAGAAAGATTTCACACTCCAATGATGGTCAAACAGGATGAAAATCTTATGTTGCAAAAATTATTTATTACTAAAACTACTAATAATACTACATGGAAAGGGAAGAAAGCAATTAACCCAGAGGGGGAGGAGTCACAGGGAGAAAAATGGACCATTAAGATACYATTTTCTTACCCCCCTCCCCACCCCTCCCACCTTCTCATGCACAGTGTAGGCCGGGTGTAGAGGGGTTTTCTGATCAGTTTATCACCAGGATCTATTTCAGTCGCTTAAGAGAGGGGGGTCCTCCTTTTGCTCTGTATCACTGTGGGGTCTTCCCAGGAGCAGCCAGTCTGTCGAACCTGCTGATGGCGTGGGATTCCTTTTCCACAAAAGGGAAAGAGTCCTCCCAAGGCCAGGCTGCCTTCATTCCAGGAGCAAGGCTGTTCTCTCAAATCTCCTGGCAGAACACAGTTTCTTCTGGGCATCCACTCACTCCAGGCGTGGCAGGGCCACCTCTCCCCCACGGGCTGTGATCAGTCCAGTCCTCCAAGGCCAGATTATTTATCTTGGGTGCAGGRCCTCTCTCTSTAYAGATCTCTGTCTAAGAGACTGACTSCACAGACAGTCACCTCGGGAACAGCCTGCTCCCCCATGGTGTGGTCAGCACAAAGGCTTTCAAAGCACCTTCTCCCCTTCTTCTCCACTGACCTTGGTGTCTCCATTTCTTTTTACATCTCCTTTCCTCTCCCTCACCTCTAACTAAGAGTTAAAGGCAGCTCCTGCAAACTAACTTGTTTTGAATTCTTAAATATGGGACCAATCATCACAGAGGTGTAACCAGCAYCTCCAATTGGMCCAGGCCTGGCCAGCAGCCTGTCCATCACCCTCAGAGCCATCAGAGATTGGCCCTAAAACACAGGGGCCAGGGCTCCTTTGCTGGACAAGATAAAAAGGGTTCTTGAAGTCTTTTATAGAGGAGCCATCTTTGTGGTTTTGTGGTCCCATCCTCCACCACCAAAAAACTGAACCCAAAACCATCACAATCCCCAGGTCCCTTTCTGCCTGGCTGCTGTCCATCCTCTCTGTCCTCAGCCTGGAGCACTGCAGGAGGTTGTTGTGGCCAAAGTGCAGGACCCAGTACATGGTCTTGTTGAACCTCACCTTGTTGGGTTTGGCCCATCAATCCAGCCTTTCCAGGTCCCTCTGCAGAGCCCTCCTACCCCCACTTCATGCCATGCTCCAGTAAAAGGCTTTGACTCCTCAGTGCTTGCCAGGCTATCTTGCCAATACCCCAGGGATGTTGGATGTAGGATGGCTGAGTGCAGGTTCCTGAGCAAAGTCTTTAGACATGAAATTTCCTTATAGAGGGAATGCTCAGTCTCWAATTGAATTGGAAGCCCAGACAGTGGCAACATTTCAGGCATCTCTTATTGGATATCCCAGGTAAAAGTTGGTTGAACAAACTGACTATGGGCCACTGTCTGCAATATCCTGTAGATTTAGATCCTGATTTGAGATGCCTGATACACCCTTGCACCTGGGAGATGTTAGAAAATKCTCAGTGTGAGAGAATTCAACTATCTGTKTTTACTTGGGGTTGTTTTCTGTGTGCTGAAGAAGAAATGGAATTCTCTCRGAGTAGGTAACAGAATGTTGTTAAATACTTGAAAGCATTCTTCCCATAGGATTACAACCTCCTTTTAAGGGGGAAAGGGAGATGAGAAGTTAAGAGATTGTAAAACAKAGCCTGGTGACAGGCTCTGCCTGCTCCAGGCCCATAACACAAGGCTTAGGCCTCGYTGCTTTTTGCTGCTGCTTTYTGTCCCYGTTTTGCTMGTGAAATAATGGAATTAATCTTTTCTTCATACTTTGGATTGTGYCATCTTGGTGTTACSTGCATATATTCARTTCACACAGTGGTTTTAAGGATTCCAGACACTGCTGCACTGGCCTGGGTTCCACTCAAATATCCTAGCTGGATGATGCACTGAGAGGGATGATTTTTAGGGATCAAACAACTCATCTTGGCATATGAAGACTAAACAAAGCCTCTTCTTTCTAGGTGGTGTTAGGAACTGAAAAATGAGCCTCCTCTGGGATAACTAGAACTTCCACCAAGTATCTCTCCAGCTGTGGTAGGAAGTAATTTTCCCTTTGTTTATGAACACRAACATTTTCTGTCACTGCTGCTGTACCAGTGTCAATAAAATAGATATCAGCAACTTCAGATGCTCCAAATGTGGATGTTTCAATGAGAGTAATTTTGTTCTAAGTTTAGTCAAAATTGTGGGTTTGAGTCTTACTTCTGCTATGACCAGTTTGACCAATTTTATCCTGAATTTAAAATCTAGAGGTTTGACAGGCTTCCTCCTCACCTTCTGGTTGGAAGCACCCACCCTGAGTGTGTTAGATGAAGCTGATAATAAAGTACTGTATGAACAGATGTGATGTGTCAAACATGCAATGTGAACCAAATGCCAGTATTCATGTTTGCTTGCACTGCTCTATCTCTGCATGAGAACAGCACTGGTGCAGCCTGTGAGCCCACGGCCATCTGTGGGCATTGCCAGTGAAGTGTTCATAATCTTGCAGTCAAATCAGCCATCAGCAAGCCTGCCCCACTTCTGAGCTACCCAGTGCTGCAGCTCTGAGCTGACCTGAACTTGAATCTGTACTTGTTCCCATGGAAGCTGTTATCAAAGTGTCTGCAATGTGAGCAGCAAGGTCTGAGTAGCTGCCTGGAGCTCATCTTCCAGTGGCACTGGGTATTGTAATTCCACTTGGTGTTTCCCAAGGAGAAATATGTGTTCAGCTACTCTGTGGTGAATGTATGGAAGAGTTGAAACTGCAAGATCTCGTGTACTGAGGAAACACAGAAGACTGCTGAGGACACACACTTGGTACAGGAAGGGCTGGCAAGTGAATGAAATACATTTGTGAAGACATCCCAGTGCTCTGAGAAGGTGAATTAATTCATGGCATGAGGCGCTGGGTCAGATAGAATGCTGGCACTGTTGGGAAGTTCTAGGTGACTGCTTCATATCTCTGTGCCTGGGAAAGATACATTGAAATGGATCTCCTTACCTGTCTTCAGGACACAGCTGTGCCAGTGCTCAGGAAGGAGTCTGACCTGCTCCTTCTGTCAATAACAAGGATGGGAGAGCAGAAATGCAAGATGTTCTGTCACCACTGTCTGAAAAAAATCATGGCTGTCACCTCTTTCTCAGTTTTCAGCTACAAAGAGGTTAATAAAACCAGCAGATACCTGTCTCTCCCATGACACCTTTGAAGGTTTCACCATGGCTCCCTGTCAGACACCCATTGTTTTTCATTCCTCCTCACCCAGTGCACTCATTCTCATTGGTAAAAGGCAGGATGGCTTTATTGCCAGGTCGAGCAGGGTTTGGGGTTACTGATTTCCCCTCTCACTTTGTTCTTCAGAGGTCTGGGAACTACTTCCCTAGTTACAACTGATTTTTTATATTTTCTTCGAAGTGTTAGATAATGATTATTAGACAATGGTCCAATTTTTCCTATTACTGCCCAGAAAGCAGCCTCATGAAATACTGAATTGATGAGAGGCAAGATCTTCAGTTTGCCTGAGAAACCTGGAACTTTGATAAGCCTTATAAGTGCATATAGCCAAAAACTGTGCCCACACATGACCCTTTCAAGACAGGCCTCCATCTTCTGTTATGGGCTTGTGATCTGGGGAAATCAGAGTTGAATGCTAGTTTTCACACCCATTGGGACAGATGTGGATGTGTTGCTCTTCTGCTTTCCCAAGCTGTTTCAGCCTCTGTTGCCTGGAAGCAGCACAATTCCCAGGGGATCACCTGCACCTTGTTCTCAGCAGCTCATGACACAGTGCTGTGCTTCAGGATGCAATCCAAAGTCCTGTTTTGCTCCTAGGCCATGTCACTGACCTTAGTCCACCATGTCAAATGAGTGGTTACTCAGTGCAATACTCTGCTACATGAACCACAGGAAAATAGTTGTAATTTGTTTAGGAATAGCTGTGCAAAATCAACAGAAAGTTGCTATCTGCTAGGCAAGTCCAGCAAGCCTTAGCAGACTGTCATTATTTATTCYAGAGTATCCAGGCAGCAACATGGCATTGTCATGTAATCCTCCCTCTTGCCCACTTTTGGTACAAAGTTTGCCCCAGCTACATAGTGCCTGGTTCTCTGGGACTCCTCCCCACCTGCTCAAGTGCAGTGGGCAGARCACAGCAGCCMCAGCAGCCCCTGCAAGGCATGGATGTGGCTTTAGCAGGATAATCCTTCCCTGCATCAGCTCCTTTCTGCTGCCAGTGGAGCTCTCTCCCATTTYGTAAAGTGGAATTCACTTYTGGTTGGTGTTGGCTCTGACTCACGACAGGGTTGGCTGAACAGCAGGTGCCAGGGCTTGGCTTTCCYACCTGGCACCTGGAGTCCCCAGGCTGACCTGTGGCCACCCAGGACCACGGTGCCTGTGCTGGCATCACACACCGTGCATGGAGGTGTGGTGAGTTTGGAGTGGGGATCCTAAGAGCATCGTGGCAGGTTGGGCTCACAGGCTGCTGGTAGCAATGCAGCTCTGTGGAAAGCCTGTGGTGCACTTTGAACGCTGCCAATTGCACACAATAAGAAAAAAAGATTGAAAGAAACGCATGGCCACGGTCACAAAGCTTCACAACTCGRGTTACTGCAAAGAAGCTTGGCGTGTGCTGAGCCACCATGGGCCAGGGCAGCRCAAGAGTGAGCCCTGCAGTGCTGGGGATCCTCAGAGCAGCACACAGCTCTGTCCAACATCACTGTCACAGAGCCTGCCACACCACAGACCACATGCTCAGGCCCCAGTTCAGGAATCAGCAGACAAGGGGATCCACAGGAACCTGAACCACATCACAGCACCAAACGTGGGAGTAAAGRCTGACTTTATCCCCAGCCTGACCTTGAACTGAGCAGCCATGGTGGTCTGTGCACAATGCCCACACTCACTGCACTGTGTTCTGACATGCACGGGGAATACCCAGCAAGCACAGAGGTGCTGGCAAAGCCTGACTGAGGAGGGTAACTTATTAGGTTGCTGGAAAAAAGAACTTGACCATGAATGAGGAGTTGTGGCTCTTGTCTGCTGGCTGAACTGATGGAGTCTTTGCAGCAGTGCTGGGTGCGCATGGGAGTGGCTTAAAAGTTTGGGACTGTTCCAAGTGGCTTCTTCCAGGAGCTAGGATGAGATTGACCCACAAAGTGTGGGATTGCATTTAGTGGCAGCACTTCATGAGCTACTCAATACACACTCAGCACACTGACCACTTGTTCTTGCCCACTAACACTGCTGCTGTGCACCACTCCAGCTGAATATGGAGCAACAAGGGAGACCAGCTTGGCTGGTTGATCCAGCTGGAAAACTCCTCTGGGAAAGAGGTGGTTTTTCCTCTGACAGCTTAATGTGAGACTTYTCACAAAGCAATGTAAATTAAACAAGTAAATTAGACATAAAAAAGTGGAATGAAAGAAATCCACACCAGAAAAAGAAAGAAGATGTTAAAAGGATGGGAATAAGTTCATAAGGGAATTTATGATGGCTGAGAAGAGAAAAATGGAGCCTCTCAAACATTCTTGATGCTGGAGAACCATTCAGAAATGGAGAACTTCAGGTGGAAAGAGGCGAATACCCTCCTGGATGCAAAGGATTTGTGTTCCAATGCATGCTTTCAGCAGGTTGTTTGGGGCCTCACAATACCCTCTGGTATCTCTGTGGAGATGATTGAAAATAAAGCAGGAGGCCTCATGCCCTGAGCTCAGGCCCAGGTGCACACCCTCAGGCAGGACCTGCCCTGAACACGGCTGGGCACTGCTGATGGCACTGAGGGCTGGCCCTGCACCCCCAGAAAACTCACCCTGCTCTCACCTCCCATGCTCCAAGGCCACACCAAATTTCCCCTCAATCTTCACAAGAGCCATTGCTAGAGGAGGGGACAAGGCTGCAGAGAGCTCTGGAGGAGGCCCATGCCAGGAGGATCAGCCCATCACGTGTCTCCTCTCATCCTCAATGTCAAAGGCCCAAAATAGCTGCGCTCTCCTAAGACTTCTGTGCGGGGTCGTGCCTGTTTGKGGGGAGGATTGGCTTCCACTAATAGYGCCTGAAGACATTCCTGGGCGGGTAGGCTGCCTTCTATGTGGCACTGCAGCGTGCTGCCCTGGAGGAGCTGGACACGTGTGCTGTGTCCCAAGACAGCAGCTGCTATTCTTACCCCACAGAGA